TCATTTTGTACTGTTGTTATGCGAAAACATTAAAAAAAACACAATAAAGTACTTGGTACTCTTAGAACAATCCGTATCCATTCTTGTTCATGAAAAAAAACAATTCATGCATGAATTGTTTGTTGCAATGTTTTTATTACTTCTGATTAAAAAAAAAAAAACATGCAAAAAACAAGAATTCAAATTCGCTCAAGTTCAACTTCAATTTTTTCCTCGGAAATCATGGTATTACAACAGCCTCGGGCAGATAAAATTTTTTAAATCTTAGTCAAGAAAAAAAAAAAATAGTTGTCAACAAAGACTCGGAAAACACTAACACAAAGCTACAAAGACTGCAAAAAAAATGATAGAATTCTGCAGAGAAACCAAGACGGAGAAACGGTGAATTTGGACAAATAAAAAAAAAAATTTCTATTCAGGAACTTATTGGCTGTTTCATTTCAAGTTTTGAGTTTTTTAAAAAAAATATATTTATATTAGTTTTATTTTCAAGCACAATGTAATTTATATAAACGCTTAAAAAAAAACTATTTTGTCGCGACGGTCAAATATATTTACAATAAGTATTACATGTATTCATAAAAAAAAGGAATCATCTTGCAATGTCTTTGATTTTTTTATTCACATAATTTACCAATATAAAAAAAAACTTAATGACTGTTCCCAAGGGAATTAACTATGGATTTCGGCACGAAATATCTCAAAAAAAAACCCGGTAACCCCAATTTCTATTTATCTTAAAAGAAGACTACTTGAAAAAAATAAAAAAAATGTGAAAGCGGAAAAAGAGGACATCAGAGGTTTCTGAAATACAGCAGTTTTAGAAAAAAAAGACACCTCTTATTGACGTCGAATGAGGCGGCTTGGCACGGACAAAAATCCTAAAAAAAAAAATCAAGCCGCCAATGGCAACACAACTCGAAGATTGATTGTGCAGACGAATACAAAAAAAAATAATGATGAATCAAATTATAATTACTTAACGAATAGAATTTTAAATAAACGATAAAAAAAAATAGTTTTATAATTTAACTTCGGTTCTGGATAAACACAAGCGAGCGCCGGTGAAAAAAAAACCACTCGAGCGACAACTATGAGTAAATGACCAGAAGCGCTACATCTGGATCCGAAAAAAAAATAAAATCACCGCAAGTGTCAAAAAACAATAACAACTAAATCGCTAAGAAAACAAAAAAAACAATTATTAAGCAAACAATATAAATTTCAATGTTTCCCATTTTCTGGTGGGCGAAAAAAAATTGAGTTTGCCTAATAAAAATTATTCGCAAGGAAAACCAGAATACCAGAGCAAAGGTGAAGCAAATCGACGAATCAACCTCGTCCCCAGGGC